TGGTGTTCAAATAGCCAGTGAAGAAAACCTTGTCTATCTGGAATGTGCAGACGACATCGTTCTCATGTTCGACGAGGCGGAGAAGGCGCAAGTATTCTTGGATAAACTAACCAACGTCATCCCGTCCTTCGGTATGCACTTTGCACCTACAAAGTGTAAGGTCATGCTTGTGGACGTGCAGTCACTGGACACGCCCCTTACAATCCAGGGAGAGGTACTGGAAGTTGTGGAGCGTTTTACGTATCTTGGAAGTTGTATTAGTTCTGGTTGTAGTGTGACGGACGAGGTGAATGCACGAATCTGCAAGGCTCGGTTAGCGTTTGCTAATTTGAGGCACCTATGGCGTCAGAATGGTTTATCCCTGAATCTGAAGGGACGTGTGTATCAAGCTACAGTACGGGCTGTCTTGTTGTATGGCTGTGAGACTTGGCCTATTCGAGCAGCGGACCTGAGACGTCTTCAGGGGTTCGACAATCGTTGTCTCAGAACCATAGCTCATGTGAATTGGTGTCGGCGAATCCGTAGTGAGGCACTTAGAAAGCGCGTTTTCGGTTGCGTAACGGGTACTTCCATTGAAGAATGTGTCCAGCAGCAGAAGCTGCGTTGGTTGGGACATGTGTTACGTATGCCGAACCATCGTTTGCCGAAGAGAGTGCTGTTTTCCATGCCCAATTCGGAGTGGCATAAACAGAGAGGTGGCCAACCCTTGACTTGGCAGAGGAGGATGAAGGAGATCACGAAACGCTTGGGTTCTGTCGGTGCTACTCACCTTCCAGGATGGGGACCGCGTGATCCTCACTGTGCCTGGTTGGAGACACTATAAGATATGGCTGCCAACCGATGTCAGTGGCGTTCTTGTTGTCAGTGTCTATCCATATTGCCTGAGTGAATGTCTGGAGGGGTAGGCACCTCGGAATGATTGTGTTAAGCTAACACAAAGTCCCCCCCTCGCCCACCTTTACTCTTTTCTTTACAATAAGGCTTTCAAATAAGTCATGGTTGTACGGTAGTGAAGCATCGGTGTTGAACACTGATGTCATGCTGTCGATGATGATGATGATTCCAAAAATGCCGCGCAAAAATTACTGGGGCATTAGTCTCACGACCTTACGTTTCATGTTACTCTGTTGCTATCCTCCGCAAATTGGCGCACCGTTTTGTGATAACCAAGCTGGCTTTCCCCTGACTGAGGTTGCAGAAGTGCTCGAAGGGCGCTATTCTGATGACTGGCGGTGATCGCTTTTCGTGATTTAAATTTCTGATTCCACTGACCGTCAGAAGCCATTCCAGTCTGGAGACGAAGGGCCTTTCTAAATATTGCCCCTTATAGGAGCACTATATGCCTCCTCCTTGGGCCAATGCGTGTCTAAACCAAGCCCCTCTCCCTAAATTTACTTCATCCATTGAGGCCAGAGTGACCTCTCTCGGCCTCGGTCTTCAACTCCATAGTCGGTATGTTGCTCGAATCTTCTTGCTTATCTCCGATACCGCGGGGCTTGGAACGTCTCTGGTGTAAAAAAAATCGTTCGGCTGTACCGCCCTTCCGGTGCCTGGCCGCCATCCCACCCGAAGGAAGCTCGAGGGATGAGATACTTCCAGGTTACCAAAGTCTGGACAGGAGAAGTCGAGAGGTAGAGGTGGGGTTCGAGCCATGGACCTTCCGGTCAGTAAATTCGCGCCCTAACCACTTGATCCATCTCGTCCTGGTGTGGTCACTCACGGAAGTTGAGTATGCCGACACTATCGATCCTCCTGGATGAGGCCATTTAGATCTATAAAATCTTCGCCAACCTGAATATTTATGCTGGAACCAAAACCTGATGGTTCCAGCTCGAGCGATCGATGGGGTAAATGAAGTTTTCTGTTGTGACCGCTGCGTGAGTCCCAGTGGACTGACGAAAGACAATCTTTCCATCGCATCGGGAAGACAAAGGCAACAGTTGCTAAACTACTTATGTGGCGTCGATATGATATTAGTAGGGTATGGCGAGCGGTACGATTTGTCCTACTTTATGGATCCGAGCGGTGGCTGCTGCGTGTAGCTCTTCGATATTTTCCAGGGAGAATAGCTACCTCAATAGAACAGCTAGTCACACTCCATAAGTTAGGCTTGTTGGTTCATATACTTCGTTCGCCAGTGGGCTGTTTGCCTCGGAGAACCCTCTTCATCCATCTCTTTGTTGAACAGAAGCGACGCAATTTGGTTAGTCCATGATTTGGTAGCGACGTGTGACAACTCTTCAGTATCAACTCAGCCGTCCCCCTAATGGAGGAAGGCGGACCCTAACAGATATGGCTTTGTCACGCAGCTACTGGCCACCTTGCATCAGAACTGTTGCTTTCAGTGCGTGGCTCCCTCAGTCCTTGTTTTGTGAACCAAGGAGGATAATTTTATTTCAGTTAACTTATTTGGTCATCGCCTTCAAAGCTGATGGGTGGCATGGTAACTAGGCACCTAAAGGGTGCCAAAACTGAACGATTATTTTTTCCCTCCATGACTGGGAATCCAGAAAACTGGCCTGTTTGAATGCAGGGAATAACCAAAATAAGGCTACTAGATACATGTAGCGAAATATGTTTCGCTCGTCTTTCTTCCATAGGATCCTGAGAACTACCATCTCTTTATCTTTGTACGACTTACAGACACTGTATGGCATCTGCTTTAAATACACCTATATAACCAGTATATCCGCTTGCTGTGTCATCCCAGCTGCCATGAGACGCATTGGCTGACTTGAAGTAATCTGCATCACGTAAGTTACGAATTCTGTTAACTGAACTGGTGCCCCTAGTAGTCTTTCCTCAAAAGCGACCTTATTTGAGTGATCGGGCATGGATGGAGTACATTTTCTCATTGCTGAGCTAGAGGAAGCTGCTTTGTTGCAACTGGTGAGTTTATCTAGCTACGTCTATGTTTGCCGTAGAATGCACGCACGGCCGATCAGCGAAAATTGGCGGAAGAGAGAATTCTTCAGTTTCGTTCACAAGCCCAGCCATATGACCTGTGTTGTGCAATTATGTGTAAGTACACGCTTGTCTTTGTCTACATATGCAGCTCAGTTTCATATGGTGCACTTTTCATTATTGTTCTGAGTTTTGTTAAACATTGTCCACTTCATTCGAGTAATACAATATGTAGGCGCATCTGCTAACGAATGATCTATTTCAACTTGCCGTAAATCTGCGTTTGGCTGTATAGCTGCGGACTGATTGATGTTCTTCTGTACTCCTTTAGTATATCATATCGATCTCGAGATTGCTCAGGGTTTTGGGACGCCAGTTCCTGACCGACAGACTCTTGATTCTAATCTACCCCCGGTTTTTATTGCTTCTGTATAAGCTTGGGCAACTTGCCTAATTTTTATGGATATCACCAGCATCCGGATGAGCTCGCTGTACCGATATCTCCGATCGGCCACTGCATGTACGGCGAGCTGAGGTGAGGCCGCCTCATGGGCTGATCTTATGTTTAGTCCACCGACATATGTTGTGGTTTTGATACCAACTTTGCTCGTTATTTCTTGCTTTGTCCACTTCTAGCCTGAGAATGGGACTCTATAAACTATCACGTTGTTACTTCCGTGAATAACTTTCTCAGAATATGTCCGAACCGCTGGAATTGACGGTGTCGAATCACTATTCTCAGGTTTTTTTTATGTCCCGGAAATGTTTACATACCACCTCGTTGAAGTGTCAGTCGAGCCAAAATACTTATGATCAAACGTTGCACCTGTTACCTTACAAAAAGCCTGTGGGTATTGTAGATTTCATAGTCGGCCAGCTCGCAATTCTTGGCTTGTGGTTTCGCGTGTCACTCATTTGAGCTTCCCAGAATACGTCACTTATTGATGAACTGAGTCCCGGGGTTTCCACCCAAGGAGGCGGTATTTGCCGACCCGGCTGAGTTGACTGGTTAGCTTTTTCATACTTCGTTGCCAGGTCATACACTAGGTTACACATGGTAGATTTCACATAAAACATGTCCGGGGAAACAAGCTAAGCCTGTTCGACTGAGGGCAACGAAATTTTGTTTATAGTGTTTTCATGCTGCAGTGTTTGAAGTGAGGCATAATATCCCTGACCAGAAGATGCACGAAAACTTGCTGGGACGGAAGTGATTTCCGGGTGCTTTTCTTGTTCACTACGTTAGTATTCTTGCGGTCTTGTTCTGGATGATAACGGAGTGTAGCAGGCTGCAATTGAGAAATATGGTTAGGCTACCAAAATTAATGTAAATTCCAGTATTCGTTTTGAGTTTCTAGTTTCATAGCGTGTACCAGCGCAGAGTACGTGCCTCCTCAGGCGTTTTGATCAGCTTTGGGGATGACCCATCGGTTTTAAAGCATCGATATTTAGGCAATTTTTTGCTTTTTTACTACAACCGCACTGGTCACCAACGATACAGATATGCTGAAATCTAGCACTAAACACCAAAAACTCGAAACCACAGTTCTACTCTTTTTATAACAGATCAATCTTCAAACGACTATCTCTTATATGAAGCTGGTCGTTGCTTGTCTCATGCTGTGGTTCGTGAATGGGACACGGTTTTTGCATCAGCAACTGGAGAATCAGTGAACCCGAAGGCAAATCAGTTGCTGTCTTTTCTTTTGAAATGGGCTGAACAGCGTGGTACACAGGTTAGTCCGAAAACCGTTGCTATTTGCAGTTCATACGAACATATACCCTTCTGATACTTCGCTGGTTCGATCCCATAAACCTCCAGTTAATTGGCGGGCGAGATGGCCCAAGTAGTTATAGCGCGAATTTACTGACCGGAAGGTCCGTGGTTCGAACCCGACCTCTGCCTCTCGGGCTTGGGCAACCTGGCAATATCCCAGACTTCGTGCAATCTTCAGCTGGCATGGTAGTTAGGCCCCGATAGGGTGCTAAGGCTGACCGATGTAACAGTTAACTTTTTGGAGGTATTTCTGCGTTGCCAGGCTGCTGGTCAACACTGCCTTAGTTCACCCGTGTGATGGCTGTGCGGAAAATAACCGAATTTCGAGAACAGCCAGGTGTCGCACCTAATGGTGCATCTTTATGTTATTTTTGTTTCATCTCCAGAACTGTTGCAGATGTTCTGTATCAGGAACCTTATATGGTAGTCTGGTTTCAGTCAACGAGTCTGTGACTCAAACTCCCCGCTGGCTTTTATACTGCTACTTTATTGGATTTGTGTCAGCTGGCAGTTTCTCGGTGGTCGAATTTTTTTCGCATTTAACGGTGGATTGTATCATTCTTATTTTATTACTCTGATTTTGAGCCATTTCTCTGTGATAATGGAGTTCCGTAGGTGATCACTCTATAATGTGTTGGTTCGAGGTTTGTCTTTCAGTGGCATGCACATCACTTTTCCACGGGCCGACGCAAACCTGTTTGTAAATCCACACCATCTATATTTCGTTTCTTATCCCTCCATCTTTACTGCATTGCTTAGTGTTATGTTCTCAAAATTTTTAGGTTTCTGCAGCAGCTCGTCAACAAATTCTTAGGGCGGCTGGGGCCGTCGTGAAACGAGCGGCCTCTGCATTCGCTGAGCAAGTTGCTACCGCATGGCGTTCGGAAAATACAGCCGCTACACCCACTCGGGTCGTCCGTCCCCGCGTACTAACCCATCCTCCTGACGACCCTGGTCCACCTTGTGCTCTTCTCATAATACTGATTGAACACGTAGAACAGCTCCTACGCCCTGTATCGTCGGATCAGTTCGAATTCGGAGTATGCTACTGTTTTCGTGATCTTGTCTCTACTTGTTTTGTTTCAACGTATCCTCGTGTCTTGAAAAACCTCTGCACGTATCATCTACCAAACAGGGTTTAGGAGTATGCAGCCTTTTTCTAATGCATCCCGTCAGTTTCAACTAGAGTGCTGACTCCCTCCATTTAGTATCAAGCAAAGCCGATCGTACTTGCCACTCCATCACTACTATTTCATGAAGTCCGAAATTAGCAACTCTAAACAAGTGTTTAGTTAACTAGACAAACTCATTATTTATAAGCTTATTTGGTTTTAACGGAAGACAACTGACCCTCAGCTAGCTCTCTCGGTTATGATTAGGTCCTTTTTGTTCATCTGCTTTTCCAAGATTATCAATAAACTTAATTGCGTATCAGTTATGACTGAAACCTAAAGCCTTCTTCCTTACTTTTTGATGAGGTCCTCGAAATGTCCGTCCATACAGGACCTCTGTTTCGTACTTGTGATTGTGACGCCGATTTACATAACCTCATCGAATCCGTACCATTCGATCCTGGTATGTCCCTTCATAACCAGAGATGAATTATTGGTTTAGACTGTATCCGTAGGCAGCTACCGGTCACGTTCCAACCGCTTCCTATGACAGATGTCGGGCGAATTCGTGTTTTGCGTATTAGCAGATAATCGTTCTGCACTGCTGATGAGCTCTAAGAGTGGAGCTCGCTGTCAATCTATGTCAACGGAATGACCCCGCAATTAGAGACGCATCGGTTTCATCACTTCACAGATTGTTCAGTTCTATGGATTATCCCAAAATGAAGTGACAGTGAGACTCGTTTGGTTCTTTTGGTGGGTGTGCCTTTATCTCGGCAACCCAATCAATGGTGGTAGGTGAGATGACATCCCAAGCTATTCATTTGACGCCATCAGAGTGTAACAGGTGCGCGCAAAGTGCAATCATGCTCATGGCGCTCTGTGTGGTTGTCAGTTCTTTGAAGCCTGTTCCCAGTTTGATTCACTGCAATCTAGAGGTTCAAATTTTGCTACCGTTACTCCACTGTGTTACTAAGTGCTGATCGATCTTACATATCATTTACGTGTTTCACGTCCCATCTTTGTGGGTGCTTATCCTACACGTGTTTCTCGTTACAATGACCCTAATGGTAGTTTTTGTCAATCAAGTTATCACGGTTTGTGTTACGTGTGCTGTTGATGATATCCTCAATGATGTTCATTTCCAGGCTGAGGCCAGTCAACGCTGTCTTTTGGGTTTGTGTATCCTCTGTGCTCTGTTGGATGAGTTGTCAAACTCAGAAGACAGTACCCAAATGAACCTCGTGTTAGAAGCGCACATTTTCCTCCGGGCACGCTTTCAGGTAATTTCTTGTGTTTTGAAATTGAGCGTAGCTCCAGCTTTTCTAAACCGGCACAGAAGCATGAGTGTATTAAGGCAAGTAATAATGGCTAAATATTCCCCCTTAATCTCGACTGGTCAATGTCCCGACCCAAAGAGTGAGTCAATATTTCTACCATATTGAGCGGCTGAATCATTCATCTCATTGGTTTTTCATCAATAGCCTCCCACTACTTAATCAAAGGAAGACAAAATCTCTTGATTATCTTCATAACGGAACTTCTTGCCATCCTGTATGCTATATCTAATGCAAAAGACCATCAATATGCTTGTGACTAGGGGGTACTTCATTGAGTTTCCACTTCCAGCAAGTTTCACAAGCATATGAGTTCAAATTGAACCTTTACTCAAAATGGTGTTCAAATCTGCTTGCTTTTCTCACACCCCTTAGACTACGCCTACCTGATTGGTCCTGGACGGGACAAAACTGGTAGTTGGGTCGTTTGCGTAATTTAAGCGACTGTCCCACACTATTACTGTTAAAAAGGGACGCTTTTGTACCTCTGATTTATTTTTTAACCCTTTAATTGTAATGATGTGGTCCGATACTGTAGACTCTAGACTGAAGTAGTTGGAAAGCATAATTGAAGACCAAAGCTCACTTTCGCGAGATGCACACTGCTGCTGATTGCCGATAAGCTGAGACAGCTTCACAGTGCTCCTCGGATTTTTCAGCACATATTGTTGGGCGAAGTCTTGACTGAAAACCTCAAATCTCCACACTGCGGCTGTCGCCTCTCTAGACGGAAGCCACGAGGCGGGACGCGGGAAGGCAGTTGATATGATCCTGTTGGATAATCCGTGACGCTTATGAATCAGATCTACTGCCTCTAACCCTTGGCTATCCTACTGTGGGCCCCTCCTTACTTTTGTCAAACATGTTCGTTTCTGCGGTGTGATCACTGCCTGCCCCACGTCATTACTCTTAACGCGTAGCTCTTTATCCCAAGTTCTAACGCCTTCGGCCAACAAAACTGGCAGCTAGAACCACCGTGCGATCTATATGAGATTTACAGCAGACGATGAATATAGGCGTGCCAAAATAATCAGTCCTTCGTAGGTGTTGACGTTCCACAATTCAATCCATGCGTTCGTTGCCCTGGAATAACTAATTCAACAGTGTCACTTAAGTGCATGAACGAATTACTCATTGACGTGTTCACCGACCTTGAATTTCGTTTACGATATTGGTTTACAGATATTGTCAGTTCACTGTTTGCGTGAAATAATGAATTCACCCCAAATACGTCTCCAAGAAGCGGAACGGGAAACACTCATTGTTCGGGTGGGTACAAACACATTACGGAAAAGCCCACAAAATCTTATGCTTGAACGTTCTACTGACCTTAAAATTGCAGTTCGGTCCCGTGGTAACCAACCACCGTTACAGGAAACGGACTGAAACTACTGGTGTAATAACTGAACACTGTCGTTATGCCATGGGTGGTCTAGTAGCGATACAATTCACATCATATTTACCTCCCCTAACCGGATTAATATATTCATTTGTGCGTTTTTCCCTCCCCAGGATCATGAACTCTTGCGTCTGTTCCACTTGTTACTCTGGTTGATTGACCGGCTACTCCAACACTGGGCTCACACACCGTTGTCTTCTTTGAGTGCAGAACACAATGAGATTATCTTCCGGATTGTTTGTTGCATGGACAGTATTATGTCCTGGGATTTCCTCCCCAGGGAACGTGAGTTAACCTCCTGTCTGATACTTCCCTGCGTGAAATCTGTTTGCTGTGGGCTCATCTGCCATGAACACCGTCTTTTGTTTCTGGTTGATTAGGTAGTGAAACGTTTGTTACCGTTTGTATGTTTGTTCTCTGCGTCGTCAATTTTTGTCGTATTTATTTAATATGTTAAGGTTATCTTGGACAGTCTTTGCTGATGCTGGTTTTCATCACCTTTTCATCATCTTTTCTAAACACAGTTGTCGGGTTCTACGCAGCCAGGCCGAGGCGTTCTGACCACGAGTCTTGTTTCAGACCGAGTGCCAAATGGTCATCTGTCTTTGGCTCGGAGGCGTTGCCGTCTACCATCCTACTTTTAATAAAGGTAATCACAGTTTATTACTTTTTTGTATTCAACTATCAACCGCTGTTCATCGTTTAATCCTCCTGAGGGACACCGGTATGTCGATTGATGAGAATATTTCCTCTTGACAGAGGTGGTACATAAGCTGTCTCCAAACCCTCTTGCGGTTGGCCGATTAGGTTAGGTTTTCCCATGCTTTTCACAACCATTTATTTTCAGAGTTTGATCAAGCTTTCCTTCCAATTGAAATGCACTATATACCCGCGCATCAACATGGAGCCTTTGTATGGTGTTTATCAGCTATCACTGTCTGGGTTTTGATGGAGCATTTTTTGTACCGTTTGGCCCACTTTCAGTGGTAGCTGCACGCTCAAGCATTCTGCAGCAACAAAATGGCTGTAACCTTGGTAAAATTACTGGTCATCGAGTAATCATATGTTTCCTGCCTTAATGTTTGGCTCATATTGTTCCACGAGGTTTTGCTAATTACATAGTTTGGAGCAAATCGTCTATCAGGTCCAGCCAAGACAAGGAACAACGCTTTGTGCCACAGAACAGTGCTGCAGCGGCACCAGTGATATTAGTAATTTAGTACATGTGGGTCATTGGTGAAGAATATTGCTGTGTAAGTGGGAAACGAAGAACATTCACTGGACAGGTCACTGCTTTGAGAATAAATTGCAAAGTAAGGGTTGCATCGAGAAAATGCCCCTTCATATACGGGAGAACTTATCCCAGGAGAGTGGCATTTGTTAGCGTGTGATGGTTCTAATAACCCCTTTGATTCATTCAACTAAGAATAACAATGCCAGTTGTGACTAGTTTGCTGACCTCCATTTCGTAGACTTTTGAGAGTATACTCTACCCACTGAAAGCATTAATATCACGTCTTCTATGTTTTCAATATTGTTACGTTTGTTCGTCCACCACCCATCATTATATCGGTTTCTGTGCGAGGATGAGGTACTATGCTAGAGCTGCTCAGCTTTCAGCTCACTTTCAATCACCGAATATCTGCTTACCCTTATTCTGCTAGCTTCATACGTTTACTCGAAGTTCTGATATACTGGGCACTCGCACGCTGTGCTGTCTATCACGCCTCTCCGCGATGACTGGACCACTGACCGACCCGGTAACTAACCTCTCTGAACTTAGCGAGATCGGATCCAATCAAACAACAACTTGGGAAGATTATGGCCTTGTTTCATCGTCTGCGTGCCGTTTTCACATCCTTACATGTATGGACAATCTCAACTTTTGGCTGATGGACACCTCCAATGACATATCCAACGCATCCTCTGTGCTTTCTGCCTTTCCGCCGGAGCAGCAATCTTTGCTCACTCAGGAGTGTTCCAAGTGCCTTGCTAATCCCCTCCATATTCCACGCTTACCGTTAGATCAATTGTCCCCATATGAACTGCCTATTTTATCCGAACTGACACAAAACATTGTGCTGCGCATCTCCAGAGCCTGGGAGCCCGTGAGAGTGGCGCTCTCCTTGCCTTCGTCGTTGGCCGCTGGATGTCGGTTGAATAGTGATCCACAGAGCATTTTTCAATACGCAATCATGGCATTGGTTGTTTTGGATCGATTCTTTATCCGGATGTATACTTTAATCGTGCAGGTGAATGATTCTGCAATACTATTTCATTCCAGGCGCATGTTCTTTGTGTCGGCCCCTAGTTACTTATTTTCATAGATGTTTAGCGTGACAAATGACGTACCCAGAACGGAGCTACGAAAGCTCGTCAATCGAACACCAAAGATAGCGTCAGCCTACCAAATGCCGGTTGCACCTCGCATTGATGGAAGGAGTCTTAAAATTAATTTTGTGGTAAAGCAAAGAAAATCAGCTTGGGAACTAAACTACCAGAGAAACCAATTCACATCAAAAGACTTTAAGGGTTTCCTTCTTGGAAAAATGTATAATAGAGGTCCATAGACTCCAGGGTTGAGGAAGCCCGTGGTTCTTAATCGGCGATGTACGCGACGCCGCCAGAGCATTTACTGCCTACTGCTCCAGTTCCTGCCACTTAGTTTGCTTTTTTATATGCAGTAAAACCCTTCAGTGTCCCTAGGTGTGGGGCCTGTTCAAGTTTTTTGTAGACATAGGTCTATTTACTTGCTGGTAATCAGTCTTTTCATCCAGGAGAGAATAAAGTGCGGCGAAACAAGAAATTGTTCATAAGGTTGATGAACACTCTGGACAGTCCATCACCGGTTCCGCCCATCTTGAGGCACATCGGTTAAGTCTAGTCCCAAAATTTGAAACAATCTCGTTTCCCTACTTGAACGTTTATTGCAGCGAACACTCGTTTACAAAGTACGTGAATGTTCTTAGAGACCCACCTAAATCCCAGCTGAAATCCTCGCTTTTTTAACTGAATGTGCTGCAAAAAGACGGCCTCATTATTCATTTGAAACAGTGCCCAAGATACCAAAGCTAATTGCAGCAGAGTTCCCCGTTAACATCAACGTAACTTGTGAATGCACCATATGTAACTTCTCATGTTCGAGTTGAAAATAGGGTTGATGGAGATTCGGTGACTGAGCCCATTTGGTGAGCCTCGAAAAACGGCGAGACAGGTAGTAGACAGTCTGGAGTCTCCATCGGCAGCATTGCATTTCGTTGCAGCTCAAACAGGCATTGGCCGGTTTGCGGCAAATTCATCCGAAGATTATCATTAAAGAGAGATTCAGCTGAATCACTGAATCTCCCATCAATGGTAGTAGGAGGGCAGGATTGTTTTTTTTCGAACTTGATGGATGGATATCCAGACTGAAGTGTGTTTGCATTGTGTTCAGCAACAAGGCAATGCCATGTAACCTTAATCTCCTCCTAAAAGCCATTGTTTTCAATAAAATATTGAAGGCAGTGTTTCAGGAACCTCTCATGTCCGACTTGAATTATACCTGTTGTCGTTCAGAGAAACCCACCCGGAATATAATTATACGCAGGCAAGAGATCCATTCATTTGCTCCAGTAACCTACTGAGTTGGCAGGTATTATCTCACTTCACGTCCTAACTTCATTTTCCTCTACAGAAGTATTGCGGGACTTGCAGCTCTTTCGGCGTGGGAATGGTGGAGTCATGTTTCCGTAGTTACTGTCACGTATTACAACCGTATTTGTATGCCACAAGGATGCATTAATGTCCCAGTGCCCTAGCAACCTGACGATTCATCTACAAGTTGATTAGTTTGGGACAATAGTTGAAGAGTCCGCAAGCCATCTCACCGGAGCAGAGATTTTGGACCATGCCTAATATTTCTTGTCCAGCTCAACAATGTCTCTAATTATGCTGAGAATTCTAAGGAGCCAATGGAAAATTCTAGGCTCTCTATACGCAATGTCTCCCTTATTGAGGGGTTTTACCGTATTTGTTCCTCACTGAAAATTATGAGCGATCTTGTTGCTTGACGAAAACAACAGCTGGTTGAAAGGGACCCAGTATATGTCTGTTGGATGCTTTTTCTCGCAACCCTAACTCCATTTATCTTCACTTCCAGTGCCTTCAATTTATGGCCCGATACTCACCAGATCCTGATGGTAGTGAAAAATCAGCGCACGAAGCGGTAGAACGTCTGTTCAATGGGTGGATCGATATGGTTGAGTCAATCCCTTCGGTGGGTCGTAGTTTCACCGTAGACGGTAACTTCTCTCAATCAGATTGTCTGGGTACATGCGCAACGTCGCATCTTCCAGTTCCACTGACCACTGGAAACCTGAAGGAGCAAGGTGAGACCAAAATCCTCACCCATCCTTTGTTAAAGAATAGAACTTCAGCGTTTGTTTTTTGGCTACTTTCTCAGCGACATCTCATTCATAACCACTAATCGTTTTTATCTTTTGTTATACGTCCACTCCCAGTTTTCGGGTGAGGTGCCTTAGGCGTATATCGACCATATGGTACTAAAAACGGACAGCAGAACACTCATACTGCCAGGAAGACACTTATAGTGCGTATGGTGACTGACGGAACGCTATTTATATGATGACTGAAAACTCCTCAACAGTTCCAGACCGGTTTCTTCCTTCTTGAGTCTGATCAGTCAGGCACAGTCCCTCAGTTTCCATCGGCCTCGTGATCTACTTGAGCCCAAATTGTACACGATTCACGAATTATACTCACTTGCAAACCAATTTGATTATAACGAGAAATTCAACCGAATCTCATCTGAAGTATATCATAAACGAGCGGTTTAACTAAGACTAAGCTGATTTGCAGATCAATTACGACTGCATTGCTTCGACAATCGGATTCGTAATTCAAACTTTTGGGGCATGCCAGTTCCGCACTGCTACTGTATCACCCGGTGAACCATACACTGAAGTGTTCGATGCGGAGGCGTGTGTTATGAACTAATCCACCGAGATCACACTGCCATTTTATACCTGCTCACTAAATGTTATTGGCCCTAACAACTCATGTCTGCATTTTCTAGAGATAATATAATCGTTCAGCTGTAATACCCTTTCGGTGCCTAGCTCCCGTGCCACCCGGAGGAAGTACGAGGGCTGAGATACTACCATGTTGCCGAAGCTTAGATGGGAGAATTCGAGATGCAGATATCGGGTTCGAAACATGCTTATTCCGGTCAGTAAATTCGCACCCTAACCGTGGAGCCATCCCAGGGGCTGCTCAGCTGCCCAGACGAAGAGGGTTTGGTTAATGGAGGCTGCTTGTTTTAATTCATACGTTTCACTGTAAACCCACTCGGGTGTTGACTATAAGTGCACGTATGAAGACTTACCATCTCACTGGCCTACTTTCAGCACCCTGAAATTCGCATATTTGTTCTGTTTAAACTCGTTATACTGGTCTGCTGGCAGACAGACCATGTATTTATCCTGTTTTTACATGGGGTGCTGAATAAGTACAACAGAAGAAAACATGCCTCTGATGTCATTGTCTTTCCTCATACTAGTAGTGTATCCGTACGTCGTAGCTTGTACTGGTGTACCGTAGATAAATCGCCTGTCGCCCCCATACGGAGTTGAGGGGCCAGCATTCGGCTCAGGATTCTTCTGTAGCATTCTAGCACCGATTCAATCAGAAGAAACTAGCCAGGATTGAGGCACCGTGTACCGGACAAGTACTTAAATGGCATGGGCACTTAAATGCTTTTAGGATGCAGCATGTAGTTTGTTTCCTCATGTCTACAGGCTTTAAAAGCGTCGATGTCCCTCCGAGATCTCTTCAACTGGGGGGGGGGGAGATTTCATATAAGTCTAAATGATAAGGGTGCAAAAGTTGCCTTCATGAGGTGGTGTACGGGTTGTTTCCAGAACTCCAGACGTAATCAGCGATGCTTCTTGCTCTCAAGAAAACAACCGGCAAGATTTGTATTCTTAGCAAGCCTGTCGGAGATCACTCCATCCTTTGATGCAATGCCCAAATTCGTCTGGCATGGCATGCTTCGCGTTATTACAGGCTCCCTAGTAGACTGTCAACTTCTTCTCTCATCTGGAAGTTGTGTTAACACGTGGATGCCAAAGATCGGAATCACTTTCTCCAGTTCGTACCATCTGGAACTTCAAAACGGCATAACACTTGACCTAATGAGTCTTTACAATATGAATTGCCTTGTTGGTTGTAAGCGTGACTTGCGAGGCCTCTTTGGGTTTGCAACAGCTGGCGTTGAGGAATGTTTTGTAAGTTTCTATCTCAAAGCCTGGGTATATGGTTGCCTCGGAATCCCTGTTTAAGACCATGCGTTATTTTTTCTTTTCCAAAATGGGTTTCGCCAAAAGAACTTCTTGTACATCATTGCAATATTGACACTCCGTTGCTGGTGTTGTGGATGACCTAGCACCGAATAATTCTAAACAGTAAGTGGTAAATTCACTTTGACTCGACCTATTTGAACTGTGCGGACCTCAGTAATATAGGTTAGTCAGCTTTGGGCCGCGATTGCGTTTGGTGATCAGAGTACACTGATCTACAGCTTTTATGTCTAAGTGTTCGGTGATCTCCCACGTCCCCCATCGATTCGCCAGTATGTTGGCTTGCTTTTTGACATAAGCAATTTATGCTCTAGCTTAGTTGGAATAAAACGTTATTTCTGCCGTCATCATTACATTTACATGACCTGGAGAAAGTTCCAGTAAGGCCTGGTGAATCTGCCAATTTTTTTATCATATGATATGACTGGAAGCTAGTTATTCAGACTAAGCAATTTCAAATATGACAATTGTTCTTAAGCCCACGACAGCCTATTTATCATCTGTAGTTTAGTGATCACGGAGGCCAGTCTCACATGGTCTTCAACGTTAAATTGGCAGTCTGGTTTTTAACAAATGTGACGAAAATCCAGAAATACGAAGATGTGTCGTGGAGAAAACCTGATCGGTACTTGGGTCGGGTGTGGTTGGAAGTCGGATCTGAAGTAACGAATTCTATTGAAACATCGTGTATAAGTGGAGTGGTCCGCTGGCCACAAGAGTTAAGTTCTGAAGAGAGCCTAAGGTAGCTCCTGGTTGGGAACCACTGGGTAAGCTGAACAAAATTTCCCATTCCTTCATTTCTGGAAGCGGAGTGCATACGGCGACTTGTCCCGTAAGGTTTACACTAAAGGTTTTATGCAGACGACCGCTATGTTGTAGTTAGGCCTTTGAGTCTTGTTGAGGATCCTAATCGTCCTGTCTATCGTTGGGTATCCTGGCAATACCCTGACTGCCATACGTACTCGCTTGCCAAACTGGACGTCGCTTGATGACAAGAACCTAGTCGAATGGTTATATGAAACGCTCCTCCCAATTATACCTTCATTTTTCTTCATTATTACCCCTTACTGGTGGTCATTTCTTTGTATGCCATCTAGTGCTACCCATGATTTTGGTAAAAGTGATAGTAATGTATTGCCGTAATTCATATTTCAATAAGATTAGACATGTAACACTTCAGGACTGAATACTTCATGCGTTTTGTTCAATCAGTCGTCACATGCTTCCTGTTTCTACGATTTCGTTCATGCAGAGGGACAAGCACATCAGATAAGAACACTTTTACATGCAATGGAGTCCAATATTGGTCAGCTGCGAATTCGCCTGTTTCAGTCATATTTACTGTCGAAGTTGGGTGCACCGTTTGGACTACGACGTTCAACGCAAGAGTCAGAGGCGGAAATTGATTTGGAGCTGGACGAGTGTGATATGATTGCTTCTGAAGTAGGTCCCGTTGTTGATCCCCTCCGTTTAATAGGCAGCCCCCGCTAGATTTGAGTTCGGAGAAATGCACAGGGGCTAAGATACGAAGTTGTGGCACAGGAGGCTGATGGCTCAAAACCGTCAATGTATATCGGTAGGCCAGTTCTTGGGCATTATATGGCTGGTGCATCAGAGAACCTCAGCATCTGAATGACTGAGTGGACTTACACCCCTCTCTGATCGAGTCGGTATTCTATGTGTATGTTTGCCTCATCCTAACGGATCACATACACCACATTTCTTTATTTCTGTCCTTATTATGCCGGTGTATATAAATCAGTGCCGCACTGATTCATGAGACTGACCAGTACTTCGGCCAATATTCCAACTCCATCTACTTAACCGCTCTACTTATGGTTACTCGGCTGATCTAACAGTTTACATCGATTGTAAGATCCGGACGGTTAAGGACCTCACAGGACGATTGCGACTATTAGATTATACGCAGTTCGTAGCCAGTAGTCAATAGGAGCAGACAGACGTGGGGCAGTAGATGATATATTG